ACTTATGAACCCAATCATGTCTCTCTTCAACCTTGGCTGGACTGTTCCTTTCAACAGAATGAAAGTCAGCCTTCTTCAACGAAAGGTTGCATTCACTTTTCATGAAATTGTAAACAGTGCTACGTGAAACTTTCAGATCATCGAACCGATTCAACAAATGCCTGGTTACTTCAACAACAGAAGCAGAAGGGTTACTATCAATAAAATTGATAACAGCTGTTTTATGCTCTTTGCTCAAGATACATTTACGACCAATTTGCTTACAAACCTTAAAAATGCTATCAGGACACATATTGTACTGTTTAACCCATCTCTGAGCAGTCCGAATGTGAATACCCAACTGCTTCGCTGTAGCTGATGCACTCATACACTTTTCAATCTTCAGTTCGAAAAAGCGAACCTTATCTTGGAGGGAATAGCGCACATAATCGCGCTTTGTGTTTACCTCTTTCATACGAATGTCTTCATCTTTTGGCTTTTCTGTCAGCATTGGACAAACAGATGAAGATTCACTAGAGGGCATATTTTTCAAGTACTCACCGTGAGTCGCAATCGGCTCTAAATGAACTCATTCTGATCAACAATATATTCTATGGGTTCAGGACCTCCATTCTCATCAACGACATTCCTATGCCCATCTTCAAATAAAAATATTGTACTCATATTAAAATTTAAGCAATTGAAGAAAAGAAAAAAAACAGACTCAGGAGAAGAAAGACCTCATTTTTATATTTTTTCGAGTGCCAAGAAATCATCGTAACACGACATCATTTTCAAATGCAAACGACATGGTTTCCAAAAGTGCGAAATTGATTTTGACCAACCAACGACATCGATTTTGATTGGCCAACGACTTCATTTTTGGCTGGCTGCGACATTGCTTGTTGGAAGCACTGTACAATCACTAAGAAAAGACATATATGGTCATTACAGATAAGTGCATGCAGCCAAGTTAGAAATGCCATTGAATAGAATGGAGAACAATTTGACAGCAGACACTTGAAAAAAAAAACAAAGTACTGGCGGGACAAAGCATAGATCCTTTTACAAACACACTGACGATTCTACTGCAAAGATCTCAACATAAGATGCAGTAATGGAATGGCCATTTGAAGCAGGGGACGGTCCAAGGGTTAAAGAGAAGAAAAGGGGGACAAAATGTTCAAAGCTATACACTATGAAGGAGCTTTGCTTAACCACTGGTCTCTTGAGATCTCGCTCTTAGGCATCATGCATTTTGACATAGGACATTGGCATTTCGACACACGGTTACAATTCACGATGGAATGAACGATCATTGAACGATGACGGCCAGCTAATATTGTATCTGTGGTTCTTAACGGGTATGCTTTTTTTTTGCTATAGTGCATTCGTGCTATATTCTCAACGATGTGCTAATATATATATAGGCAGGATCAGTCAAAGGTATTATGTTGTTGGCTCTTTCAGCCATGCGTTGTAAAGGAGTTCGTGTTTAAGAAAAGAGGGACGTTTTAGGTAAAGCATAGAAAACATGATATGTAAGCAAGCGTCGAATATGATTGGCAATATACTAATTCTCTCTATTCCCTCTTAAAACCAAAGATACACGTACCTGTCAATACATCATAGGGACCAAAAGATGTGAGTACTATATTTATGCTTATGATATGATGTTAGAAGTATAGGTAGGTCCCTACCCAAAGTTATGGTTGTAAAGTGCCATTAATAAATAGTATATATGAATAAAGCTTTTATAATAAAATGTCTCTTCAATACTACATGGATCCTTCATCTCTAAAAACACAGAATAATACATATATGGAGGGGAATCGTGCATCTCTTATTATTGCACCATCTGATGATAAATGTCAATATGAGACAAAACCTTTGTGCGTTCTGTTAAAGTATGATTATAAATAATTGAGAATCGCGGACCTAGTATAGTCTATAGTAAAAAGATCAAAAAAATAAACAAGTGCCCTCTTCAATACACATACTTTTCTACTACTGCTATTAAAAACACGAAATGTCCAACAACAACAGCAACACGCCTATTATTCTCGACCTCGAAAACGAGAGTGTTCCAGAGTGGCTACCGATTGCAACCTACAGAGCAACGATCGAGCGCGCACCTCAAGTGTCTGGTCATTGCTGGGTGAAAAAAGATCACCGAAATGGCAAAGGAATTCTGATCTGTGAAAGCAATGGCAATGAAATCCAACAAGCGAATGACGCGACGATTTCGGGAGAAGTTGTTGAGGAAAACGAAGTAGAAGAAAGTAGAAATATAATAAATCAACAATGAATACAAATAAGGAAAAATTAATTATGTACCTGCATTAATCTATCTCACAATATAACATCACTTATAGACATCCACCCTACCAAAAGAGCTCGTAAAAGAAAAGTGAAATGGTCCGAGCGTTATGTTTGCCATCGTTCTGGAGGCGTCCGTGTGCGCAACGATCGTGTCAAAGGTGGTGCATCAAAGTCGATCCGTATCCGCCAAAGATCAAAGAAGATTGGCTGTCCAGCTCGCTTCAGAGCAGTATGCTATGAAGAGGAGCCAGAAAAGGTGTATTTGTTCTTTGCTGGAGGTCATCCAGATCATACTCCTGGTAGCGGCGAAGATGTCAAGTACTTGCCCAATTCACAAGAAATCAAGAGCAAGATCCTTCAAGAATTGCATAAGGGATACAACGTACGTGACGTGCGCTTGTATATGCAGCGTGAATACTGCACTATTGGTGACAACAGACGTGAAGCATACGTGAGCACAGTAGATGTATACAACATTTACTACAAGTATCGTCAAGAGAAATCACAGAGAAATGATGATGACTTCTCGTCTTTGTCTTTGTGGTTGCAACACCTTGAATCGATCGGATATTTTGTGTGGATCAATGAAAAGATCACCATTGATGAAAACCAGCAACAGCAAGCAGTAAAGTGTCTTACCGAAGATAACTTTACATTCGGTTTCTTTGCTCCTTGGCAGAAGGATTTGCTCTTGAATGCCAAGTTTATTTCTCTTGATGCCAGCCAGTACTCTGATGGTATTTTATATACCATGGTTATTCGCCATCCAGTTGCAGCTCGAGGTGTTCCAGTTGCCTACCTCTTTACCGATACTACTGCCTCTGCTCCCCTTGGTACCTGGTTCCATCAGCTTGCTTCCCTTGGTGTAAACCCACTTCGCATCACTATTGACTGCAGCCTGCCTGAGGATAATGCCATCCACGCTGTCTGGCCCTCATGTACGATCCAGTTTTGCACCTGGCATATCATGCGCTCATGGATGAAAAACGTCCGTTCCAAGATCAAGTCGTCGCCTGGTAGAAGCAAGGCCATCGCCATGCAGATTGCCCGTGAGAAGCTACGCGCGTTGATGTACAAACGTAATGTTGATACATTTCAACAACTGCTCCACGAGTTTTTGTCTACTTTTGGTAGATACCAAAAGCCCTTTATTACTTACTTTCAGAAATACTGGGTTACTGGTGAACAAGGCTGTGATCGGTGGGCTGCATGCTACCAACCTGCAGTTTACACGAACATGGAGACAAACAACTATGTTGAGTCATGGCACAACCAGCTGAAGACAATTTATCTGAAGCGCAAACGTGTCCATCGTCTTGACTTGTTGATGAGTATCCTGACGTTCGATGTCGAGTTTGACGTCCAGCAAGAAGTCAAACGTCTAACGTACCGAGTTGGGCGTATGAGCAAGGATGAACGGCATCTTCGTGTGCAGGAAATAGAGGCTGAGACCGTTGATGAACAGCTGTTGTCTGCAATGGTGAATGTCAGTATGGAGGACGAGTTCGTTGTCAGCTCCTTTCAGTTGGATAGCATCACCTATATGGTAAGCAGTATATCTCTTCAATCTTCATCCAGTTTATATCCTCGATGATTACCATAACTCTACAGTACCTGTGGTAAGTATTGACTTCTTTTTATTTCCTGCACTTTTAGGTGAAGGTCGAGGATGGGCAGCTGGTATCTTGCTCGTGCCCTGCTTTTGAACGTTGGCATCGCCCATGCAAGCATATGTTTCTTGTTTGAACGGAAGGAGAAGGATGTAAAAGTTCGCCCATCATTGGAAGCATGGCATACTGCATTGCAAACTGCTGCCACCAGCACATCAACTGATCCAAGCCTTCAGCAACAGCAAAATGAACAGCAGGATGTCCAATCCGAAATGGAGCAAGAACTATCACCAACAGATAGTTTTGCTAAAGCAATCCAACAGCATACAGCAACAATTACTGCCTTAAAACGCAAGTTTGAAAGCAGAATGGTTCAAGCACGCAACCACGAACAATTGAGCTTGCTGACCGATCGTCTGCGAAAGCTCACCGAAGAAGCACAAGGCATTAGCAATGAGTTGTCTGACATTGCCGTTGTCCCCCAAAACTCCCGTTTCCGCCATCAAAATGCATAACCGAACTTGTTTCTTTTTTTTTGTCCTTTATTGTATCCCTTTCTCTATAGACTTTATACTTATATATTAGCCCTTGTTTTACTTTCTTCCACTCTTGTTTCTTCTTTACAGACATATATAGTATGTAATACTCACATCTTTTGGTCCCTATGATGTATTGACAGGTACGTGTATCTTTGGTTCTAAGAGGGAATAGAGAGAATTAGTATATTGCCAATTGACCTGTAATAAATTTAAGACACAGAAAATGACCTTTATTTGATATATTAGAATATTGGACTGGATTGTTAAGTTGGATAAGATATACTCACCAGTACTACAGACTGGTCAAAGTTACAGATAAATGTGTGATATCAAGAGTAAAGAAAAAGGGTAAAGAATGATGAATAACAATGAAGTGGTAGAAATAGGGAATAGCAAAAGTCATGTGTACTACTGAAATGCAGAGTTACGGAGATACTAAAAACATCATTTTATCCCACTACGCATCATCATCCCCCACTCTGTTTGCTGCCGACCCGATCGTCACCTTCAATTGGCAGTCGTGGTAGGCACGCAATGTGTCTTCATTAACCCTTCTCTTGAGTAGGCGGCCTGATTCATTGGCAAGTAAATAAGTTCTATTTGCAAACGCTGCCACCACCAAGAATCGCTCAGGTGTGTACTTGTGGTCGAGCTTGCCTTTACGGACTGCCTTGATTCGCAAAACATGTGAACCGGGTTTGAATTTTGCTTAGAAATCTTGAACGAGTGATGGCTCCGGACAATCGATGAGTTCATCAGCCTTTATGTTTCGATTCACTAACTTGCAAAGGCGTTGATAGCCCAATGTAGACCCAAAAGCTGCCATAATGTCCTTGCCGTTGTCGCCTGGTGCTTGGCCGAACATCAATTCGAACGGCGTGATCTTGAGGGTTTCGTGGGATTTCGTACGATAGGAATACAAAACAGCAGGTAACATAGATTCCCATGTATCCGGATGGACTCGTACCAATTTCCGTATAGCTTGCATAATGGTTCCTCCCATTTTTTCGTTCTTTCTGTTTGTTTGAGGATGTAGCGGCGCAATATAACGATGATGAGTTTGCAATTTCTTGAGAAACAATTCAATGCCTTGAGAAACAAAATGGGTGCCATTATCCGAGAGAAGATGGGTACTGGGACCGAACATGCTGAAGACATGGTCATAAAGAAAGTCGGCCACCGTTATTGCATCAGCCTTTTCGGTCGCAATCGCCACAGGCCAGCATGTAAAATGTTCTACCGCCAGTAGTACATATTTTTTTCCTGTTGGAGAAGGAGGTGTAATTGGACCCATGTAGTCAATTGAAAATTGTTCAAAAAGGTGCATCACCGGAACGCATCCTGGGACATACCGCCTTGGTAGGTTTGAAAACAATTGGCAATCTTTGCACGACTTAATATAATGACACATGTCGTTATATGCGCTTGGCCACCAAAAAGAGGCAAAAAGTCGAGCCCAGGTACCATGTATTCCATAGTGTCCATGACCATCATACAACATTTCAAGAACAGCATCGCGTTCATCAACATGTGGAATCTTGACCCAGCGATCACCAACAGCTCGGTACAAATGCTCGTTTACCATCTTGAATCTTTTCGCCTTATGCTTGAACGCCTTAGAGAACGACTGGTTCGTTGGTGCGGCAAGATAATAGCAGATTTCCTGCAGATCGGGCTCGTACCACGTTTCCATGATCAAGAAGTTGTGGTCGTATAAGTCCTCCAGATTGTCTTCGCCACTTGGTTCTCCTGGTACTTCCGCCGGTGGATATCGCGAAAGGGCATCCGCCGCATTGTTCATTTTTCCAGGAATATGTCTCGTTTTGAAGCGAATTTCTTGACACGACAGAACCCAACGTTGTAGTCTCATGCTACTGTTGTTATCGACACCCTTAGAGAACAAGAAACGCACCGCCAAATTATCGGTCCAAATTGTAAACACTTTATCGAGTAGGTACTTGCGCAGCTTGTGCAGTGAGTAAACAATTGCAAGCAACTCCTTCTCAACTGTGGCATATCGCACTTCGGCTGGTTGAAGCTTGCGAGATAGGAAACATATTGGCTGCAGAGAACCATCGGATTGTACCTGAGCAAGCACCGCACCAATGCCAATATCCGAAGCATCGCAGTACAGGTAGTATGGTTTGGATGGATCTGGGAAGGACAACAAGGAGCTTTTCGCCAAAGCCTTCTTCGTATCCAGAAAAGCTTGTTCCGTCATATCATCCCAAACGAACGACTGATTCTTCTTCGTCAAAGCAACCAAAGGAGCAGTAATCATCGCAAAATTCTGAACATGTCGTCGAAGAAAGCCGCATAGTCCTAAGAAAGCTCGCACCGCAGTAGGGTTTGTAGGTCTTGGATAGTCTTGAATACGTGACAAATGAGTGTCACTAGGATGTATACCTTGGGGACTGACGACAAATCCAAGTACTTCGACCGATTCACGCATGAAATTTGCTTTCTTGGCGTTGATTCGCACATTTACTTCTTCCAATCGCTGAAAAACTTGATGCAAGTGATCGAGATGCGAGTCCAAATCAGGGGAATATACAGTAATGTCATCAATGAATGCCTCGACAAACCTTCCCAAGAAAGGTTGCATAGCCAAAAAGATAGCGCGAGACCATGTATGCGGACCATTGACTACTCCAAACGGGAGTACGGTATATGAGTAGTTGCCAAAAGGGGTCGCGATGGTCAACTTGTTTCTTGATTCTTCGTCGCACTTGATTTGATTGAATCCCTTGAGAAGATCGATGGTAGTATACACCTTGGTACCACTTTTTCCTAGTTGTTCGACCAAAGAGGTAATATCCGGCAGAGGCCAGGTGTCACGCGCCGTCACCTTGTTCAATGATTGAAACTGCGTCACCAAGCGCAGTTCATTGTTCTTTTTACGCACATAACGACAAGGGAAGCTCCATCCTCCCATATCAGCGTTATTGCGATCATGGGTGGTTGGAACCAAAATGCCGTTCGAGACCATACTTTCAAGTTCTTGTTTTAGGTGTTCCAGCTCTGAATGTGACATACGCGGATTCGGACGATGATAGATAGGCTTTGCATCGCCGGTGTCAACATGGAAGGTCACTAAATTTGTTTGGGCCAGATGCTTGTACGAAGTGCCAAAGATGTGCTTGTAGTCTTGGACTAACTGTATGAGTTGATCTTTGATGACTAGATTCAAATCACTTCTTGCCTGAATTTCCTCGGGCAGATCGCCAAGACGGTCGTCGATAGAGCTCTCACGCAAGAGCTCCTCGTCCTGCGATTCCTTTTGGACCGAAACCATTAACAGCATATCTTGTACATCGTCGCATTCAGATTCGTCTGCAGAATCAGTATCGTGTTCTTGTGGCATTGGTTTATCCTTGGTTGGGATTGCGGTATATTCAACGTCCATTGGCCGAAGTCCATTGGGTGTATAGACCGACCACCGGTGGTATTTCCAACCGGTAACGACTTGAAGATCGTGAAGAGCATGCCTTCCAAGAAGCAAATCATAGCTTGTCACATCCAAGCAAAGAGCACTAAAATTCTTTGCTGGTGAGTCACCAATAGAGATGGACAAACTAGGGACGCGACCAACAGGCGACGCATAATGACCGTCACCAAGTTGCAATGGACGATTGACCTGGTCAATTTCTTCGATTCCCAATTTCTTGATGAGGTTCAGACTTGCAATCACCGAGGTACAACCACCGTCCAGGATTATACGTAGCGGCTGCCCGTTCACTTTACCCCAAGTATGGGGGGCGCTATCGCCTTCAGGCAAATGATTGGTCTGAGTAGTTTCTTCTTTGTCCTCCTCGAGTAAGTGCATAGATTGGGGTTGTGGTGCCTTGCTATGATGCTTCGTCAAAACGCCCTTGATTTGCGTTCGCAATTGTGGAGACAAATCGGCCAATTGCGCCAATGAGACATGAAACACTTGACGCTCGATCAAGCTGCCTGCATCCAAGGGGGACTCGGTCAGATGCACAGCAGATGCTTCCGGCGCGTTGGGAGCATCTCTAGCTGGAGCATCTGACACCTTAATCTTCTGCCGTGGTGGTTGCGTAGATGCTCTTCCTTGATGCTCGTTGCTCTTCCTTTTGATAGCGTAGAAGTCTTCCTTTTCGGCAATACTGCTTTCATGCGTCGACTTAATTAACAAAGCGGATGAGGAGGCTTGATTTCTTTTTGGATACTTTTCGCATTGAAAATTGGAATGCGAGCCTCTGCAATACTTGCATGGGTTTGGGCAATGGGCTGCAATGTGGTCAGGCGCCTGACAATTATAGCATATACGTGTATTCGATGACTTGTGGTGCGCCTTCGACGAGGGTTTCTTGTTATCACTAGGTCCATCAGGCGATGCTTGCTTGGATCCGTTCATCTTGTCGATGGCAGTTGTCATACGATTAACACCTTGGATTAATAGTTCGAGGGAATCAGAGCAGCCTTCTTTCGTTCGTGTCTTGTTATAGTCACTACTCGACAACTTGACCGTTCGCCTAGACGAGCACGTTTTTGTTTTGAGGCAATCGTTGTCGGATGAAATGAAGTCGTCCGAGTCAGTGTCGTGGTCGTGATATTGTCCGTAGCTGGCTCGTTTTGCAATTTCTGCTGCAGCCTCAACGTCCTGTGGGGCAGTAGATGACACATGCAGACGTAAACTGTCAGGCATGAGACCGCGGACAAACATCCTGACGAAAGCTTCAGGCTTGATGGTGACCACTGGTTCTGGTACAAAAGTGTTTCGTGTTTCAACATCGCTACTTGCAGAAACGCGTGACTTTTCTGCAGTGTTTCGTGTTTCACCCTCGTTACTTGCAGGAACGCGTGACTTTTCGGCAGCTTCCACCTCCCGTTCGGTTACGCCGCGTTCGTAACGCATCTTCAATTCGTCAAATCAATGGACATAGTCACGCAATCTGGAGTATCGTTTCTCCATGCGTAACGCCCAGAGTTTTTCCACAGTACAGGTGAGGTCAACGCGTTTACAATACTTTTCCTTGAATGCTGGTACAAATTGCCTCCATGTTGTATAGCCTTTATGGAGTGCCCAGGTTGACATTTCTTGGGGCATGCTGGTCAAAGCATAAGCTAACTTTTGGGAGTCGCTCCAATTATTAGTCTCCGCAAGAGAGCTGAAGAGTAAAAGCCACGTTTTTGCTTCACTCTTCTTCTTGAGTTTCGGGGGTCTGACGTTCGCCATTCTCGAAGATGTGGTATCAGAGTCCGAGGATGAATGCAAAGATTTAGTATCGCTTGAGGGCGTACTGCTTTGGTTGGAAGGCGGCATAAACGACTGTTGTGGCTTCCGATCGGCTTGACGATAAATTGTAGTGCCCTCCCTCTAGTGAGCACTAAAAAGATGACCTGTAATAAATTTAAGACACAGAAAATGACCTTTATTTGATATGTTAGAATATTGGACTGGATTGTTAAGTTGGATAAGATATACTCACCAGTACTACAGACTGGTCAAAGTTACAGATAAATATGTGATATCAAGAGTAAAGAAAAAGGGTAAAGAATGATGAATAACAATGAAGTGGTAGAAATAGGGAATAGCAAAAGTCATGTGTACTACTGAAATGCAGAGTTACAGAGATACTAAAAACATCATTTTATCCCACTACGCATCACCAATCATATTCGGCGCTTGCTTACATATCATGTTTTCTATGCTTTACCTAAAACATCCCTCTTTTC